GCCTGCGCGGTCTCCGCAGGAGAGACGCGCTATGTCTACGACCAGCTGCAGCGCCGCTCGGCGGCATGTCGTGTGGATATCTCCGGCCAATGGTGCCCATGGATCCTTTTCATGGGTGTGTCGCAACAAGAGGCCGGGTTACCTCTTGTTTGCGGTTTCAAAGGGAAACGCAAAAGGAACGCCACCACTTTTGGGGGTCGCATAAAGGAGACACGCCCAAATAGTAGGCTCCTATTGGTTTCCTTTGCTGTGGAGCTCTCGGTGGTTGCCCGGAAAAAGTTCAAGGAGTGGTTTGGGGCAGCAAAAAGGGCTACGGGTTCGGACCTTTTGGGTGGCAAACATTTCCAGGTTTCAGGGGTCTCAGGATATATCTGGGCTACCCTCAAGCCGGCACAGTGCACGGGCATACCATTTCGCACTTGTTCAGCGGACGGGCAACACCAACAAGAAATGATTTCCGCGCCGTGCCTATTTGCTGAGTTCCCCATGGAACATGGTCACCTCCGCCAAAGAATTGATTCCCGCACCCGGGTCGTTTGCGGGAATGGTCACCCGAAAGCGGCATCCTTCGCTTTGTTAGCCAAACGGGCCGAGGCTCGCTCCAGAAGTGGAAACCGCAAACTTCAAAAAGACCTGGGCTGCCACCTAAGCGCTATAAGCCCCTTGTGTTTGGTAGCCTTCCCCTCTGAAAAGTTCCCCAAAGGGGTCTTGCTCTACTGGACGGGTTGCCAGTTGCAACTGGGACGCTTGGCAGGTGATGTCAGCCGCATCACGGCCAACGAGCATGCCTTTGCAGCTGTTTCTCGGCTGCCATCGCTCATGGTCCATGGTGCCATCCTCGAATTACCCTCCTGCCAAATCAACATGGAACCTGACGTTCGGGGGGTGGAAGACAAGTTTCCTTTCAAAGGAACCCTCTGGATTTGTGGGAGGGTACGCTTGTACAGAAAAAAAAGGGACCACCCCAAAAAAAGTCACGTTGCGAACTCTCAGCATGTGTAGCTTTCAGGTGCCACTTTAAGGGGTTTCTGTCTGGCGACCCCCATTTCGGAGTCCGTGTTCATTTGCGCCAGCGGCTGAAATGGAAACCGCTGGGACCAGGCCCCGTTTGAAAGCAACGAGCTGTCGGACCACCATAAATCTAGGGGTTGATTCCCCATTCTTTTCCTAGGGTTCTATGGTTTTCTAAGAAGGATCCCAGGAAACAATGGGGAAGTGTCCCCTAGAATAAAGGCAATCACTGTTCGTGCACCCACCAGAGGATTTCGAAAACCGTTGGGAACAGTGCTATGAGTGCGCTCGTTTTGACTGAGGCAGGCAAAACAAGTCCGGAGGAGTGTCAAGAGTGTCCTTCTGCAAATGATGTCCTTACCTGGACCCAGACCCCAAGGGGTGTAACTTACATGATGTTCATGATGTAATTAATGTGTTTGGGCTGTCCCGCGACTGTCATGTGGGGCCCCCTTGAAAAGTCGCGGAGGTTACGCCTTGGGGAAGACTAGAGTGGGGGGAGCCAGGCCGAGCCCTCTTCAAGATCTTGCCAAGTCACTTTTCCTGGCTGAATAGGCCATGGGCCATAATCCTCACTTTTCCCAACCCAAACTTGTCACCCCATGGGCAGCTGCATTATTGATTTTCCAGAGCATCTATTTAGCATCCGGCTTGGGAGGCAATTTTCTTACAAGGAGCTGACGCAGAGCCTCAACTCCTTAGGCTGGTACCCCAAATGTTTGTTGGGTGGACGGAACCCGGTATCTAGGGCTAACCCTTAGGACCCCGCCCGAATTGCTCTAACTTTTGACCCTTTAGTTTCCCCTTTTGGTCCAATCCTTCTAAGAACCTCCTAAGAAACCTTTGGGGGGGGGGGGGGGGTTTGGGCCGGCCGAGCTCCCTTGACGCACCATCAGGTACGCCGCGATGGCACTCTAGTGTGCTGGGGCGACCCGGCCAAGGGGGGCGACTGCTCGGCGGTGCTGCCGAGACTCAAGCAAGGCATGCTGCGGGCGGGGCGGGGCTTTACGCCGTGTTTGGTGAACCGTAGGATCTGTTCTTGAGTTGGTACCATTTTTGGAGTGGCCTTCAATTGGGCAATGAGACTCGAAATACACATTTGGAGGGGTCCCTCATTTTCAGACATGCGCATGTCTACTTCTTGGACCTTGCTTGACATCATTTTGCAGAAGGTTCTATAAATACGCTTGCACCTGGAAAACCTTCCGGGAGTTGAGCCCTTTTTTCACGATAGATCAAACTGCAGTACTTGCATCCCTAATTGGCATGTATGAACCTTAATCCAGGCTAATGTGTGGCTATGCGTCCGTGTTGGGGAGAAATGTTGCAAGGATGTATCCCACTTGCACATGCCCTTTCATGCTGACAACTTGTTTGTTTCCCTTAACATGTAGAATCATGTAGAACATCCGGCTTCAACTTGACAATTCTTGGTTTGTGTTGTGTGTGTTCGAGTTATTTGTGTTGGTTGCTTTTTTGTTTTGTTTGTTTTTTGTTTCAACGTTTGGAAGATTCAGAGAACAAAGCTTGCTTGGCACGGGGTTGGTAAGGCAAGGCAATCCTACCATTTGTTCCCGGAAAGAGGTCCAACGGCAAACCCGATGAGGTCGCCCATTCTTGCTGCCCAATGGCTTGCGATTCCACCGATTCGTTGCAAAACGAGCGAAAGTCTAGTACAGTACATCCTTTACTCGGAGACCTGTTGTTTCAGGCTGTGGAAATCGAAGTAAATGGACATGTGGCATCCCAGAATGCACCAAGTGGGGTGAGCTATGGAGCACACAACGCAGCCCGTCGAATCCAACCGGAGGGAAGGGGCTGGATAGCAAGCTGATCGTTGAGTTGTTTTGCAAGTCCTTATCGCAGGGTTTGCCACAAAAAAGGCTTACACTCCTCAGACTAACATCGAAGCTGTCAGAAGGCCTCTGGAAAAGGAACCAAGTCTTCTAAAGGGGTCCTGGGAGCTGGGAGGGTACCTGTTAACTTACTAGGCCTTTCCTGATTTATTCAACTGTCTGTTTGTCGGGGGTCCCTTTTCTTGCCCTTTGGAGCCTGTTTTAACATCACCTGTTGGTGGCCACTTTGGGGGCGTGAACTCCGTCCCTTTCTTTTTCTGGGCGTCCCTTTTGCGCACTATGTCGCACACGAGGGGACGTAGATGGCAGGACCTGTTGGTCCACTTTTGGAGGAGTTTCTGTTTGACTTCCACATTGCCGCACTGTGGCTTGTCCCGCCCGCAGGCATCAAGTCGCGGCAGCCTCAGACGGTGCCATGGGGGAGTCGAGGGCATTTTTGTTCGGAAATCTCTCTCTCAAAAGACTCGAATACACCAAGGATTTACCCCAACACAACCCTCCAAACAGAACCTCCGTGGCAATGCCCCAGGTTCCATCCACTGGAATACACAACCCCTCTCTGAGAGTTGCCATTGCGGGGCCTGTTGACCTTTTCGACAGCACAGACCCCCACTTTCCAGGCCAGCGTGAGTTGCCAAGCCAGCGCGAATGCTCGTCGATCCTTGATGTTGCATGGCACAACAAATCGAAACAGAGGAGCAACCTGGAAAGGCAGGTTCGATGGGAATGCATTGGTAAACTCCTGTAGTTTTGTCAGGTGCAACTGGCCCGATGGTATTTTTGGATCACTTTGGGGGACTGGAAGTTGTCACCCGGGTTCTGATTCCAAAGTCGTTCTCGGGCTGCGACCAAGGATATGCCCCAACAGCGTGGCCTTTGCTGCACTTTTGGAGGATGACTCGGCCGGGGGCTCGGGGGGCTCGGAGCTCGGGGCGAACGGCCGCCTTCAAAACCCATGAGTTGAGGCCAAGCTTCTTCGGCTGAATAAGCCTTCCACCCGAGGAAAATATGAAGGAACAACTGAGCTGGCATTTGCAGAAGAGTATTTGTTGTTTTCCGCTGTTGGTGTCAAAGGGCATCTATTACTAAAGTTTTTATTTCAAGAGATGTTTTCTTTCCAGGGGCTTACTTTAAGCAACAGGAAGTGAGCCTGGTTGCCGGTTGCAAGTTCCTTGGCACTTTTTTTTTTTCCGGGATCTCAGCTGGAAGATCGATGCAAACCACCTAGAGCCCTTCTGCGAGCTTTAGCGGGCGTGGAGGTGTGGATCTCTCAGTCTCAGGGAAGTACATAGCCCTTGTTCATACCCCTTGGCTTCTGTGGTTTTCAGCCCACTCTTATAAGGGGTATAATGTATATATATATATATATATGTATGTATGTATATATCCCCCTTTTGGGGAGAGGGGTATGAACGTCAGCCGGCCGTTTGGGTTCATTTGTCCAAGGGGTCTATGTAAAAGGGGTATGTACAAGTACCCCTGGACATGGGTGTGCCATGTTGAGTACTTCAAGGGGCAATCGATTTTGGCACCTCAGGTAAGGGGCCAGTAAGCCTGGTGAAATAACCGAATGCACGGAGACTTAGAACCGTGACTTTTGTGGGTTACAGCCGGGCTTACTAATCACTTGCTAGGTACCCGATCGCCCCTTTCAGTATATGGTGGACACAGACATCCTGGGTGTGGCGACCTTTGTTCTTAGTGTACTCGGCACCAGACAAAGTGGTCAGGCTTTGACTAAGAGAACCTTGGGAAGACTGCTGCCTTGCGAACTTCAGCCAGTGAATCTGATATCCGCCATTCCACGTGGCCTCAGGCCCCCCTAGCCATATTCCATCGTCGATTCAGCTCCTGAATAGAATTGCGGTGTGTGAACCTGTAAGAGGAGCCCTTGACTGCGCGGGATTCCAAGGGTTGACTGTTGGAGGCAGTCCAGATTGGAGCAATTTTCTGAAGAATTGTAGAACGTTCACTCGAGCTTAAAATCTTATGTGGGGCAGGCTTTGTCCGTCAGCTCAGCACGAAAGAAATAAACATCTGGCACCTCGACTACTGTTGGCAGCCATGGTGGGCTTGCATTCGGCCCAAGTGGATAAACTCTGGGCAGGGGAGTTTTGAAAGCCCCCCTTTTACGAAGACTTTGTTTTTGGGGCCGGCTCAGGCGAGATGAGCAATCCAGGCATCAGTCACAGATCATGTGTTGATATACCTAAAAATGCATCAAACGACGGCTGATTTTTGAGCGTGCGTGATCATTCCATGTCGTTTGTTCTGTTGTCACTACTTACGCATTTATCTATCGTGCTTCCCTCCCTCTCTCCTTCCCTTCCTTCCTCTCATTCTTTCGTCCTTCCCTGGTTAATGTCTTTGTTTGTTGTTTTTGTCCCTTTCTCTGCTGGCTTAGGTGATCGCCTGGGGTGCGCCCTCAGCGCCCCAAGCTGCACTGATCAGTCGGGTGTCGAGCCCAAGATCACGCAGATTTGGTGAATCATTTCTTCGGTATACCCTGCTAGTTTTAGAGGGCAATGCCCATACACCGCACACATGATGTTCTTTGCAGCGCAAAACTCGTTTCGCCCACTTGTGTGAGGAGTCAACCAACATCGGCTGCTTAAAGGGCCAGGATCAAGTAGCTTGATAACAGGACCGCCTTGCTTTTCCATTCCTGAAGGTGTCTGAACCGGTGTTGTTTTTGTTGCTATGTCTGGTTCTAACGTGGTGGGCTCGCGGACCCTTTTTCTGTGCCCTTTAGGCAAGCAAGCGCCTGGGTTGTTTGAATGGTGCACCTGGCCTGCAGCATTCCCGAAGCAACACATTCCGCAGCCCGCAAAAGTGGAACTTCTTTTTGTTCTTGGGGGCCTTCACTTGGTGCCATTATGGGCTAGAACAGTTCCAATCTTAGCCTAAGGCTTGGCCACTAACCGCCATGGCAGTCATTGCCAGTGGGTTTGATCTATACAGCAACATCCCCGGCCCAGGGTGGTGGCTCTACGAGAGAGGTGAAGGCGGGCTGAACGCCATGGGCTGCCTATCTTATAGCGAGCTCACCGCTCGGGGGGGAATACAAGCTCACCAGTCCTTTACTTCTGATGCCTTAATTCAGCTTTTGGAATTCCAGTAAAAATTGCAGATATGGCTGCGCTTGGATTTTCATGAGGGTGCAAGCCATGAAGAGCCAATAACGCCATTTCAGCCGCCAAAGCAGCTGTTGCACATTTGCTCAGAGCTTGGCTGTGTTTTCCTTGGCCCTTTGCCTGTATGCCTGCATGCTTGATAACCAGCATGACACTGCGAAATCTTTGGGGGGGCCTCAGTGCCACTGAGACGAAAAGTAAATCTGCAAGACTTATCCTCCCCAGCCTGCCATTGAACCTGACTGGAGGCTCTTATGCTTTTTTTGGGACGTCCAGTTTAGTGTCAAACAAACTGAGAAAAATAAGCAAGCAAAGAAGCAACAACAAACACACAAACAATCAGACAGACAGAGCCAGAGACAGAGACACAGACAGACAGACAGACAGACAGACAGGCAGACAAACTGACGGCCAAGCAAGCAAGCAAGCAAGCAAGCAAGCAAGCAATCAAGAAGCTAACAAGCAACATCAAACAGACACACCATCAAACAGACAATCAGAAGACTGATAGACAGACAGACAGAGACAGACAGAGACAGACAGAGACAGACAGAGACAGACAGAGACAGACAGAGACAGACAGAGACAGACAGAGACAGACAGAGACAGACAGAGACAGAGACAGACAGAGACAGACAGAGACAGAGACAAAGAGACAGAGACACAGAGAGACAAGCAAGCAAGCAAGCAAGCAAGCAAGCAAGCAATCAAGCACCAATTCAGGAAAACAAACAATCAAGCAGACAAGCAAACAAACAAGCAAACAATCAAGCAAACAAACGAGCAGACAAACAAGCAGACAAGCAAACACAGACTGCCCCTTTTGCCAACCCACTCAGCAAATGAGCCCTCCAATGCCCCTTTGAGACAATGCCTTTGCTTGCCTCCAGGCGCAGCTCCGGTCCAAGGTGATCCGGCTGTACGCCACCCGGGAGGTGCGCATGTGGCGCTTCCTCCCAAAAGAACGTCAGCTTCCATGTGAAAAGGGGACAGGGCAGCACAGGTGTCCTTCAGGAAAACCAACTAGGAGGGAAGTTTGATGGGGGAAATGGCGCCAAGGGAATCCCCCCCATATCCCCGCTCCCCGCTTGTTCGTTTGTCCAAGTCCTTTTCATTGGCTCATTTCCTGGGTTCCGCGTGGGACTTGCAAATTTGAAGTGTGTGACCATGTTCTGACGCCCTTTGGCTTGGACCGAGCCAATGTTAACGGACCGCAGTTTGGCTTGTATGGTATCAACATTTCACCCAGGCAGGGTCCCTGGGTTGTCCAATGTACACCCATGAGAGATTTTTGTTGTTAGGCGAAACACCAGGACGCCATTTGGACCCATTTGGACAAGCAGGCCTTGGATGTCTTTGGACAAGCTTCCAGGGTCCGTTTTTTGAGCGAACATGGAGCCCATTCCCACCCAGCCCCATGTCCCTGTTTCTTCCAAGCAAGGCTAAGATCTTTGCAGGGACGGGAGAGTCCCCACTACACTCGGGGCCACCTGGTTTAATCCGGGGTGAACATGTCTTTTTTGAGCGCACCTTTTAACGGACACTGACCTCTTAAAAACACAACTTTTCAATTGTTTGGGTAACATGGGCTATATGTCTGTAAAAGGTTAGCTTCCCCAGGGCTTGGAGTGTTAAGGGGTAAGGACAAGGGAAACTGCAGCTTTTGTGGCCTCCTCTTGCCGTGCGCTCCAGGCCTTTTCGGCCCTCAAGGAGAGCGGCAACGTCATCTCCTGGGGCAAAGAGTCGGACGGAGGCCCCTCGTCACGTCGGGGCACAGGGGCGGTCGTAAACTTACGGCGCCCCGTGCGGCAGCGAGACCCTGAGCTTCTTAGTTGTTGTTTTTGTTGGTTGGGGGGGCCAGAACCTTTTTTTGGTTGGGGGGGGTGGTCTCCTCCAGAACTATTGAGCTCATGTGCTTAGCTGCATGTAGTCTACCCATTGTGGTCTCCCCTTCCTCAAATAGGTGGTCTACCCAAAATATGTATTGTGGGGTAGGCGACATATAGCGCAGAATCAGGCAGCATGATTCTTGGACGACCCGAGGCCAAGTTCAGGCGGCACCCGTGCGCCCGTGGGCAGGATCGAAAGGGGGTATGCAACCACTGTATCACTACTAGGGTGTCGTATATCTTGTTTTCCCCTTCATGTCGCCATAAATGGCCATTAAGTGGCTGCAAATCCCATGAAACTCCTTGGAAGCCTTGGGTGGTGGTTTAGGGATAGCCAACAGTCTGTAGATTCGCACAGCTTTTCAGGGACCCCTGGGTCGGGCGACCCGGTGCTCTAGGCGACATCCTGGCTCGGCCGGAGGATCGAGGGGAGGTGGACCGGATCTATTGCACCTCCCATGCCTTCGCAGCGCTGGGAAGCAACCTGGAGAGAGATGGCTAGCTCACTTGCCGTCGCGAATCGACCGGATCTGGCCTGACCAGGTGTTTCGTGGTCGACTTTTAGTCATCCCACAAGGGCAACCTGTGATTTCCATGTCCATAGGGCAAAAGTGAGGCTACAGCAAGTATTTGCAGCTTGCCAGGTTCTGCTTCTGCTTGCCGCGCCAGAAAAGCTGTTTTTTTGTTGGAAGGGAGGCTCGCTCCTTTTTGGGTGTGGGTCCCTTGCCAATTCAACCAAACAAGGGTCTCCTTTCCTCCCTTAGATTTCTGGACGAACCTTTTGGGCATTTTAGCGCAGAGGAAGGTTGTTTACCTTCGGCTCAGGAGGTCAGATGGGTTGTTTGGGGGTTCCATGAGTTTCCCTACCCTGAGCTTGTTTTATGGGGGCTGGGAGGGAGGGGAGGGAGACACAACTAAGCATTTTTGGAGGGCGTTATTATGGGCTTAGGGAGGGCTCCCCCTCCCTCCCCAGCCATGATGGTTCGAGCTTTGGGAATCTCTGGGTCCGTAAGTTTGAGAAAGATTAGACCTCCGAGGGCGGGAAGGCCGAGTCTGCTGCTGGGGCGACCAGGACTGAAACCTCCCCAACATTTCCGGATTCGCCAGTGGGTCGTTTGGGTCGTTTCCTCTTGGTTCTTGGGAATTGAATTCCCTTGGCTTTTTCTATGGGAATCCACTGCGGGGGTCCGTGCCATTTGGTTCTTCATGCCCTAGCTTTTAGCCACGAGACCACCAAACCCCCTCCAAAAAACTCAGGAAGGGTCGTGACCGGGAGCTTCTTGATTTTGGTTTTTCTTTGGGTCGGTGACTTATAGTCAAATATGTTGTCGAGTGAAGATTGGAATATATTGGGAGGGCAGATGTTGGCCCCTTCATGGATCCACCTTCGTCTTTGCGGGGGAAGACTAGACAGATGAATTTGGGGGACCTTCCCTTGAGGCGGGGGGGGGGGATGGAGACTAGAGCGTGCCTCAAAATTGCATTCTTTAGTGAAACTTTAGACTTTGGAGGGAACGCTGGGAAGCTTCTTCGAAGGGGGCCCAGTAAATCAAACGTTTGCGTTATTTTCCTGAGATTTGGAAGAGGCTTGCCCGGGGTTCATATTGTCACGACGAGTTTGTTTGGGGAGCGAGACCATCGGCCCACTCGGTCTTTTAGCCAGGAAACAAAGCAGAGTAGGTTCTTGTTTGTTGCCTTGGTTCATTGGAAAGGGGTCCTCTCTTCCAATGCAAAAGCATTAGGATTGTCCAACACTCCATTTGGAACAGGCCGCAGTTTTGTTTTTGCGACTTTCAAACCGAATGACTAGAGGATTTAACTTAGCCAGAGAACATGGCATTGTCCGATGCAGAGTGTTGCATCCGACGCATAGGAGAGCTATGGACCATCGCAGGCGGCTTGTGTCTAATTAGTTGTCCCATATATCAGTTTCCCCTTATGTAGTGGTTTGGATTTCGTGGTTCGGGGATTTGAACCCCTGGTTGCTGTAGAGGGTAGAGGGTAAACAGGAAACCACCCCTGCCCAGAGGCCCCCCTCCCCCCCCACCCCATCAATTACTGGAACACTCCAAACCACCAAGTAGAGGGAATCTGAATGTAGTCCTGAACAGAGTGCCACAGGAGTCCAGTTCCTGTTCCTTTGAGGAAGCCAGGCTGTAGCCCCCCTTGCAATGGCGAGTCAGTGGTTCATTTAAGACTTGGCACACTTTGCTGGTGGAAAACCTTGCGGGCGAGATATTGGCTTCTGCGTAGCGCTGGATAGCGCTGGGCTTACCTCAAGATTCTTGGTACCAGGTGTCTTCATGTTTGTAGTGACCTGCAGATGGGGTGTTTGCTTATCGCAAAGGAAACAAGGTGAAGAGGAACCTTCTGAGATTCTGAAATTCCATACAGTTCCCAAATCATTCGGTCACTGTCCAGTCAATAGGTTGGCTAACCTCTGCCAGGAGTACGGCGGAGATTGTTCCGCGGTTGCCTCAGAGCCCTTTGGATGCGTTTGGTTTAAAGCTACAAGGACAAAGCAAACACAACACGCTGACCACAGAACTGGGTAAACATTGGGTCTACCATGTTGGTCATCTCACACACACATGCACACTCAGGTTCTTAGATTGCATGTGAGCTAATGTAAGCTTTGTTCTTCTCGGAGTGCCACCCGAAACGTTTCTTCAAGGTTGTTATTTTGATTAGTATGGCCCTTTGCATTCAGAAGTCAGCATGAAGCCTTCGCATTCTTCGGTACAAGTCATATCATGTCAAGCGGGGCTTTGCTACACGTTTTGCAGCCACTTTAGGGTGAGAATGGTCCAAGTGAGGCAAACGGTAATCTAAACATGCGAGTTCTGGTTGGGGACCAGAGGCAAATAAATATGCGGCTAAAGCTGAATTGCGGCATTTGAATGTGAAGCCAGTATATGTGTAATTATATAAACATATGTTTTATATGTAAACCTTGAACCTTGGTGAAGGAGAAACCTGAGCCCCCCAAGCCCCCCCCCCCCCCCGGCACTCCCCCCCCCTCAACAGAATAGGTTCTCAGACGCCTTTGCTCAGAACCTCTTCTCGTAAGGTGCGGAATCCCTCCTCCACTTTGCCCAGAACTGGATTTGCCAGACTTAGCTTAGATGTTTAAGTCTTTGCCATTGTGTTTTCTTTCTAATGTTCCTTAAGCCAGCCTTTGCAAGTGGTTGGATTCGCCTGGCTTAGTTGGTCTCGGTCACATCTCCATTGCCTTCAATTGTGGTTCTTCAAACATTTTCATTTGGTTAAGAATATGGTTTCTGTTCCCTGGTTGGTTTTACAGGGAATCGATCACTACTGAAACATCAACAGTATGTTTCACGTTTTCTAGGGGACTTGGGCAAATGCAGGAATGCAATCCTCAACCCTTTGTGCCAAACGTTCCACATCCAGCCCAGATTCCGCGAGGTTGGTGGAGGTGAAATTCCGATTCAATGGGACACCACTGCGTTAATAGGACACGTTCGTATTGAGGCCCTATTAAGGCCCTAGTGGTTGATTGACACATGGTTTGTTGATCCTGGATTTTACTTTATAGGGATCCACTTCCTGAATCAACCAGGGATTCTTGTCGAGTTCCGAGATCCGATCCCCCCATTTTTAGGTATCTATGAGCTTTTGATGAGGAACCACCTCAGTGGTTGATGGACATTGAACCCCCGATATCCACAAGTCCCATGTCCATATGTAATATGGGGACTTTCTTGAATTCATTAGACTTAACTTCCGTGTTGTAGAACCTTGCTGGGGGTTAAATAGGTCCCCCGACTTTATCAACCGATCCAAGAACTTTTGAGCACACCGTTTGAGCATACCTTTCCTGGATTCCTTGCATGAGGGGGCCCGGACAAGGTATGCTCAAACGGTCTGAAAAGGGCCAAGGGAAGCGGCGCTGACCGGAGGCTGGTGGGGGTGTACCACATTTGCGGCACCTCTTACGCCTTCGCGGCGCTGCGCCATGATGGGCGCGTGGTGACCTGGGGCCACCCAGCGCCCAGCCGGCAGAGGGGGGGGGGGGGGGCGGGTGGGGTGGGGGGCATGTGGTGCGGGGTTGCGGGGGAGGGGGCGTTGGTTTGGCGGCAATGGCGGTGTCAGAGTTAACACCGAGTGTTTTGCTGAGTTTGGGATGGGTCTGTGTTTGCGAGGGTGCCCTCTGCTGCTTGGTTTGATTCAGGGGAGACTAGCCGCCTTTCTGGAGAGCGTTTTGGAGCCTTTCTGGCATCCCTCTAAGAAGGAGCCAGGTTGATAAAAGACCTGGGGTTTAAGAGCATTTTACTATATACATAAAACATACGTGAAAATGTAGCTGTGCATTCCCATGCATTCTGCTCCCCACGCATTCTGCTCGTGGAAGTGTATCCCTACCATATGTTTGACGAACCCCCACTGATATTGAACAAGGTTGGGTTGGCCACAGTTGGGGAGGGGGTTGGTTGGGCCATGCAAGCGCCACTGGGAGCGTCCGTTCCACCAAACCCGGGTGGCTTTCTGCTCCCCTGCTACAAGTTTAACCTCTAGTGGTTTAATTCAGAAAACCCATTAGTTGGTAAAAAGTTCTCAAGGCCTAACATCGCTTGGCAAAATGCACCGAAGTAAAGTTGATCGACAACCTCAACCACATCCCCACAAGCGAAGCCCCAACTGCGGTCAAGAAATGTAACAATGATGCCACATATTGACCCCGATTTGGCTGCGAGCCCGAATCAAGGTTCAAAGGCCAAGCGGTCCAATCCATATGCCCAAGAGAAGCGGATCGAGGAGAAACCACTGGCCGATTTGCAGGGTGAAAGATAGTATTCCAACCCATTTGGATTTGGTCATCCCCTTTACACTTTACCCAAAGAACTCAAAGGACTTTTCGCCATCTGCTTTCACCCTGAGGTGTTGTGTGGGGGGGGGGGGTTCCCATTTTAGGACCTACAATCGATCCCGTTCGCCTTGCGGATGCCCCGAAAGGGAAAGGGGGGGGTTTACAACCATTCGGTGTTGCTTGTTTGACCCATTTCGGAGGTTCCACCATGATGTACTTGGGGATGTTTCCCTAAAGGGGAGAGTGATTGCACCACCAAACTGATTGCCAGACCTTCAACGTTGCCATGTTGGTTGTTGCAACCGCCAAAATTTGCTGTTTCCCCCCTGCTTCGGGTTTGGGCGCCCGCCGGTTTGTTAATCCCAAGGGAGCATGGAACAAGAGTGTGGGAACATGTGAACGATGTATCCTCCTGCGGCGCCCCATGCAGGATCGTTCCGGGAATGAGTATCGGTTGTTTATCTCCGCGCGCCTTATTCATTTTATAAGAGCGGGGCGCCCGGTGGGTGCCTTTTTCTTGTTCTTTTTGTGTTTACTTTGCCCTCCCTTTTCATTTCAAACTCTACATGCTACCCGTACCCAGCCCTGCGTGTCCAACGGCTTTTCGAATGATCACCTTTCTTTTTGGGATCGTTGGGCGACCACAAAACCAAACACCCCTAGCATTGGCCAATTCAAGGGAAGTTGTGACAACACTGGCCCAACCATGTTTGAGCAAGGACTATGGCGGCGAGCCGGGATCTTGTCAGCCGCAGCTGGAGCAGGAGGTGCCTTCCGCAGACTGATCTGCGCTGTTTGTCCGGAGCGAGGCTCCTGCAAGGCGAAGGCGGCAGGAAATGCGTTTGTCCTTTAAATCAGCCACACAGGATACCTTCAAATAGCCATGTCTAGTTGTTTTCAGCTCTTTCCCCCTACCTTCCTCCATGGAAGCTCACTACGAAGACTAAAGCTTTGCTTTTGGCTTCGGCTCGGCTTTTGGCCCCGGAGCCCCCCAACAGGCCGTGGTTTGGCCAAAGCAGACCTCGCTTCGTCCGCACAAACCTTGTGGTTCCTCGCAGGTGCTGCGCCTCTTTGCGACACGCCATGCCTTCGCGGCGGTGAAACGCTGCTCGGCGGGTTTCTGGGGCTGGAATTCCCCTCGGATGTGCATAATTTTCATCCCGTATTTGGATCAAACCAAGTTGAGTGATAGGGGGGTGCTGTTTCCTGGGTGAAATGCGGGGAATCAGACTACTTTTGGAGAGGGACGCCCTTCTATTAGTAAACTGGGGTTGATGAATATGGGGTCAACATAATGATTTTGACCTTTGGAGACCCCTGTGTCCTGCAAAGTGAATGTGTTCCTCAGGTTTGCCTTTTCATGGCTGTTGAAAGTGAAGTTTGAACGGCCTTCTTGATTGGAAAAGCAAATGGACAGGACAACCACTTGGGGCTCCCCTAAAACAAGACATTGCCCAACCATCCGAGGGGATAGCCATAAACCCACAACCCAGTTACTTCTGTGACACCCTGAAGAACCCTTTCTGTTTGGTGGGCTCCCTACTTAAAGTGGACTCACCTAGGGGATAGAAAGGTATACTTGCGCCCTTGGTATGGTTTTAAAGGACCAGCAAGCGGGAAGCCACCAGTTTCGAGGGGGGAGCTGCTCAAAAAGACACCCAACTTGTGCTACAACAAGAAACCCACCTCTGTTTTTTGGGAGGGGTCCCTGGACCCCTATCAAAAGGGGGAAAAAAAAAAACAGCTATCCTCTTTCTCTATGTCTCGCGACTCATCCCGACCCCCAAACAAAAAGAACGCCAGCTATCATCTTATCTAAAGAAAGGTTTTGAAGCAATCGCCCTTTGACCAACAAGAAGAAACAACACATATTATCTTTAAGTTTCGCCCGAGGGGATGGCAGCATCATCACCTGGGGCGGCCGCGAGAAGCTGCGTGAAGCGGCGGCGCCGCCCTCCCGCAGCGCCTCGCGCTCGCGACCCGACCGCGAGCGAGGCGAGGCCTGGCGCATGAGGACCTGAGGCGAGAGCGAGCGGCGCGGGCGCCTCGAGCGAACCCGTCCACGCGGGGCTTGGCTGGAAGACGCGCCCAGGTCTAGTGGCAAATCGAGACTTCGGTTTTTAAGCCCAGCAAAGGGTGAATTTGCCCTTTGCTGATTCGAATAGTTTGTTGCCCGTTGGTGAGGCGTTGTCTACTTGTGTTCGGAACAGGATCCCTTTTTTGGAGCAATCGGGTCCCCATTTCTCACTGAGCTTCACTGGAGACTTCAGGAGGGCCAGTCGCTAATCCACTCAGGCTGGTGGTAGGGGCGCATTTGCCGGACGTGAACTTACTAGGACGGGCTTGCATCAATGTTTAGTAAGGCCTTAGCAGTTGCCGAGGTGTTCCGGTCAAAGCGAATCAATATTGGAAAAATGTCCTTCTGCCTGAGGCTTCAGCCTGCTTGTTTCTTGTTGTTGTTGTTCCCCGACAAAACACAATGTAATACATATGTTTGTCTTCAAACGATGTAATTTGCACCAATCCCCTTGGTGTGGAACGTAAATAGTAAAGGGGGTGATGAAACCAAGATGGGTTGGCCACCTACTTTCATCCAGCAGTCTGTAGGGTCCTCTTTTATTTGGTATGATGTGTTTTCTGTCCTTGTTTCAAATTAACGGGGAATGCCTGAAACCACTGAATATTTCAGCGACCATTTTTCTTGCTGGAAGTAGGGCATTTCCGTCGGTGGCTTTCAGGACCAGCGTGCCTCATTTCCCAGCAAGAAACATTCGGGCTGCCCTACCCCCACCAGAAAGGCGCGTGAACCGCTTCCAAGAGCCTTTCCACCTGGGTTGGGTGCAGCCACCCCAACTTTAATGAATCCAAACCGATTAGAAGGAAGATGATGGGTAAACAAGTCGGGACTTTGTCTGACACACACACACAATGCAACAAGCCCTTTTGATTATTTGCATAGGTTTGGCTAGGCCTCTTCAACACCATGTGTTTACCCAGAGGCAACTTGGCTCACCTTCTCTCTAAGCCCTCAGTCTTCCGTAGGAACCCATCAGCTGCACGGTCGCCAAAGTTGCGGCCCGCTTTGATTGGGTTGTCAACCTCGTGGGCCTCTTTTGGACCTCAAATCAGACGGCCACTCACTTGTGGTTTGGCTTGTTTTGGGGATTTGAACCCCCAGTCCCTTTGGAGACCAATTGGGTGGCCACCAATAAGGAGCAAGCAGACATTGCCGCTGAATGCCCCCCAAACAAACTGACAACCTGACGAACGCATTTCCGCGCCCCCGTGGAGAGCAGAAATGAAGCATGCAGCGTGCTCGTCTTCGTCTTAGAAGCTGGCAGGTGTTGGTTTGCGATGAGCCTGAATCTAAGAACCCAACAGGAAATTCTGTAGGAAACTCCTGATTTTGGTCCCCCAGCACATCCCCCAAAACCTCATACAGGCGAAAGGCCTAAGCTGGGTAAGCATGGTGTCACATATTCAACCAGCCTCAGGCATAGACACCAGATACAGGACATTCTACAGGAAACTCGCCAAATTCCCGCGCGGTTTCTGAATGTCAAGGGCAGCCTATACGCCTATCCCGTTGGATCAAACAAAGGGCTGATGACAAGAGTTACGCCGGCCACCTATTTCATGCGTGAAGGCGGGTATGCAAACAGCCCCACATTTGCTCGACCTCCAGTTCTGCCCTTTTGCGTTTTGTTTGGGGCTGGCCATGGGGGCTCCTCTAAACTCAACTTCTCACAACTGGCAATCCTTCGGAGGTCCGGGAATCGGCAGTGCGCTGCTCTTTGCAGAAAACTCAGCGGCGGTCGATTGAAGAAGCTACTTAAAGGGGCATCGTACGTCAGGTAAGTGGTCAGTAAGCCAGGTTATACCCACTGAACAGAGACTTATAAACATGGCTTTTGTGGGTTAACCGGGCTTGCTAACAACTTCAAACATGTTGACCCAATATTCATGAACCCATCCTACTAGGGGGGTGTACCCTTCCGAAAGTGAGACATCCCAACTAAGCCAGGGACCCCTATTAACAAACAGAGGGTTTCTTAAATCCGGGGTCAACATTACTAAGTACAATGCCCCTTCAAGTACGCTTTGCCATGTACCGGCCCTGTTTTCGTGATTCGAGGCCGCACGCATTGCCTTCAACACCCGGTCACGCGTGTGACGGCTCAGGGTCCGCGTGCGAGACAGAGGGAGGGGGTGAAACAAACGGTTACCCTCCCACCCACTAACATTGCCACCACAGGAGGTGGCATTAAGAGGAAATTGTGGGAATCTTGAGGAACCTCTTGCGGTTTTCCAAGTATCTTCCATGGCTTGCTAGCTGGAGGTGTTCGTTTGCTTGCCTATTTGCCCTGCCCTGCTGGCCCCGCCCTGCGTGCCCTGCCCTGCCTGCATGCTTGCCGGCATGCCTGTCCGTTTGTCGTTTGTTTCGCTGGTTTCTGCTTGCGTGCGTTGCTTATGTTTGTTTTTGTTTGTTGGACTGGGCGTGGCGGCTTCCTATGCTCGGCTGGCTTTTCATTGGTTGGGGGATTTTGGGCTTCTGTCACCCAGGGCGCAAATGCCCCAGCCGCCAATCCAAGCAAGTGACAGCGCGGAAGTTTTGCAGATCAGCCTGGCTGAGTGAAGCGCTTCCAAGTTCCCAGGCTGGTTCATGCATTGCACTGTGACATCCTGAAAGTCAAGACATTACTCCCCCCCCCACAAAAAACACAAAACAAATCAGAGCAATATGAATAAATTGAATAGACAGCAACATAGCATAAACATAGCAGTAAAAGTAAAACAACACGGAGTCTCCTTCATGCTTTGGAGCCAAGCCTTAGCTTGCAAGCTACCTGAGTGACGGCGTGCAATGTAGAGCTGTACCGTCAGCCTTCCACCCCATAACACTTGCGTTTGAGGGCCATGAGTCTCTTTTTTGTCACGCGGCTTCCCCTCTAAAAGTCATCAATCCCACATGTTTGCGACTTTGGTTTGCCAGCTTCTTGTACTGTACCAGTGTCAGTATGTATGTTCATCAAATCAAACCTCCGTCAGAAAACGTCAATCTGTTGGATTTGGGATGTAGATTTGTATGAATCCATCTTTATTTGAGGGTACCCTTGCTGAATTGGTGTTGAAAGGGAAGCCAAAAAGAAGCCAACCAAGGTGGGATGCCCTATTGCTTAGGACAATCCAATGTTTCCTTTATAGGTCGCTGGGCCCTGGACCCTCTCCCCGAGGCTTCAAAGCTGGGCCTCGACCGGATCGCCAAGCAGAAGCGCTTAGAGAAGGAGATGTCAGGCGAGGGGTGGGGTGTGTGTACTGGACCGGTCTTGGCATTTGCGGAGTCTGTTTGGTTCTTGAAGTTGGTGCATCAGGTCTGGAAGGCTTTGGGGTTGGCCATGGTTGGCCATTTTCGCTCAAGTGATCCAAAACGCAGATGTGTTCCTCATCGTTGGTTTCGGCTCATTGTTCGTCGTGGCTGCGGAGCAAAGCTTGCTGCGAACCTAAGATTTGGAAAGTCCAACTCCCAGGCCTCCTCCCCCAAACAAGTTTTCCCAGGCAGCCCTCCAATGAGCCACGTCCTCAAAACCTCGGGTAGACTAGGTTTTCCAGTGGTGCCCTTTTACCCGTTTTTGGGGGAGGGTTCCCCTGCTAAGATAGACTACAGAAAAAAGGGGCACCCTTATTCTAACCTCTCTACTGGAGGACCTTGTAGATGAAGGTTAGTAAGAGACACTCCCAACCATTAATAGGTGCGGCTGCCTTGGCGAATCTTTATGTCGCTTTTGGTTCACCATTTTGGTACCGATCGGTTTTGATTTTGACTCAGGTGCGGTGCCTGCTGATGTTTTAGACACCAAAGTTCGTAATTAGCTGTGTGTGCGTGAGTTTTCCTTAAACCTGTTGAGGTTGGTTGGCTCATACCGGTTTCTGTTTCTCTTTTCCTGTGCTGCGAGGCCCAGTGGCTGCCACCTCTTTAGACGCGGATCCGCTGGCGGATGCGCCCAAGCCCACCATGGAGCAGATCGAGAAGGCTAGGACCGGCCTTTGGCAGAAAAAAATGTCTTCAGTCAGAAAGGCCAGCCTGAAAAAACGGCGAGCAAAAAGAGGGCGCCCTTGTTTCCCGTGGCCACTCGGGGTTTACGCAACTCTTCCCCACAGCAGTTTGCGCAGTGTGTGGCATGCGGCTCAGTTGTAAAATGGGACGGCCTCGCCTAGTGAGCAATCAAGCTGTTGTTCAAATTTCAACTCTTAGTCCACAAAGTTGACTATGACAAAGCTGGGCATGTGTGTGTGTGTGTCACCGCTCTCGGTGACGTTGTACATCATTGACCTTGACGTAAAATGACGAGCCAAGAAAATATCCAACACACACATATATATGTATATATATATATATACAAATATATATATATATATACATATACATACATACATATATACAATTTTATGCATTTGACCATGTATTTATTGAACAGAAACACACTTTGGACAGTTGATGCCCTAGGGTTCCCCTAGTTTTGCTGACAGGGCGGGGGGGGGGAGGGAGGGTCTTGCACAATGGGTGGAATATGTTACTCCCAATTGCTTAAGAATATGCGTTATTTTCTTTGTTGGTTTTAGAGGGAATCCATCACCACTGGAAATATGTTTTCACTTGTTCCTGCGGACTTAAGGAAATGGAGGCTTAGCTACACTTACACATATGTTGTGAAGTTGTGTTTGTTGTTGGTTTTGCATGCCTTTATTATATACACACCTGTCTAGTCATACCCATATTCATGCACCAGGTGCTGTTCTTGGTGTATGTTTATTGATTTGTCACGTTCATGTGGAATTGGGTGGCTGCAAAGAACACAGCCAGTTTTGCTGCTACCCTACCAGGGGAGGTCGGGAGTTGTTGTGTTTTGTTTGCAGAGCCCCCTACATAGAACACACGGCAGGCTTTCACTCACAGAGTTTCTTCATCTTGGGCCGGTTCGGTGAGGCGAAGCAGCGAAAGAAGATCGCGGCGGCGGAGTCG